ATTAGCCTAATTTCTGGCTACAAACTAAATAGAACTGATTTCTATTCTAACCTTACTATTGGTTAAAATCCCAAAGTTCTTTTCAGGAATTAATTTCCTGACCTGTCTTCCACATCTGCTATTTATTTTCTGATTGATTGATTTTGCTCCTCTGCTAAGGCTATGCCTTATGGGCATTGAAATAATCATTTATTTCAATGACTATTTTGAACACTTTACTTCCATGATCTTAAAGAATAATCATACTTGTTACATAGTCCTGAAGATGGACAAAAGCATCAGAAATATTTTTGGGGTCTGGTGACAGAATCTCAGAACTAAAAGTGACCTTGGAAATGTCGTGCCTGTCGCCATACCCCACCAGCACAGTTATCTTGCCACTATGATAACTGAGGGTTCTAACAGGGAAGTGCCTTGTCCAAGGTCACACGATTGAGGGTTCGGCAGAAGAAGGACTCAGATCCAGGTCTGTTATCTGTTTCATGGTAGCGGCTGGGTTGTACTCTTTAGCACTTGGGTTACATTGTGCAACCTTAGCTCAGAAACAGAAGAATCAGTCCCACGTTTGCAACGCAAGTGGAGACTTTTAAATGCATTCAGTTAGGGGCAGCTAGGTGGTACACTGGATACAGCACTGGCCGTGGAGTCAGGAGGACCTGAGTGCAATTCTAGCCTCAGACCAAACATTTGACACTTACTAGCTGTGTGACCCTAGGCAAGTCACTTAACCCCAACAGCCTAAAAATAAAAATAATAATAATAATAAGTTAAATGCATTCAGTTCCTCAGCTATATTAACTTTTTACCTGCTTTCAAATTAAGTTTTAAGCCAACTAATTTCCTGGCAGGAATGCTGCCAGAGTTTGCACTGAGTAGTGTCAGGGATTGTGAAGATCAATGGACTGTTTTCATTGTTCTCCTCCCCAAATATCACCTTAGAGAACGTGTTTCTTTCTCTATGTCTATAGACAGAAAAGGTGTTATAACATACCTAATATTATTCTTAAATAAAGCATAATGATGATAAAAGTAGGGTATGCAACATCATCATAATTATGCCTTTTTTGCTATTAGTAAGTTTAAAATGAAAATCCAAATTATGATTATAACTGACTACTTCCATGGTTTTGGACTCAGCCTAAACAATGCTTCTGACAGTTCAGTAATTCAACAAATATCTAATGAATGCCTCCTTTGTGTAAAGTGAATAAAGATTCCATCCCTGCCTTCATGGAATAATAAGCAAGAGCAATGAAAGCTATACTCAAATAACGTAGCTCACCTGAAATACCAGAAGACAGGCCCAAAGTACAAAGGTGGATGGTTCAGAGAGAGAGAGAGCGTGTCCCCTTTGCAGGAGCCAGGAAAAGCTTCACAAGGGAGGTGGCAGTTCACCTAGATCTTACAAGGGGAAGATGAGGGGCCAGGAGGATGCTTACAGTAGAGGGAAGAGCTTGAACAAAGGTGTCAAGATGATAAGTCTTTCATCACGTTTCAGGGAGAGTGGATGGTCCAAGCTGGATGGGGTATGGGTGTTTGTGGGGGGAGCTAGAAAGGGGAAAGGCTGAAAAGGTGGATTGGGCCGGAACATGAAGGAAATTCAGCACCAGAGAAAAGATTTAACCTCAATTCGGTAGAAAAGTAGAAACTACTGTGTATCTTTGAATAGGTGAGCAATATAACCAGAACTCTAGTTTAAGAAGGTTTAAATGGCAACCACACATTGGCTCTATTAAAGAAGAGAGAGATTAGAGGTAAATAGGCTTTTGCAACAGTGTAGCTAAGACAGAAGGAGGACTGAACAGGCTGGGGAGTTGGTAGCAGATGTAGAAGGGAGGAATAGATTCAAGAACAGAAGTAGAATCAGCAGAATTAGGAAGTGATTTCATTAGTGGAGTAAGAAAGAGCAAGAGAAGAATCAAAGAGAACACTAAGGTTCCTAGCCTGGGTGACTGGAAGGATTTGAAGTACCCTTATGAGCTGAAATAGGGAAGTAAGAAGGAGGACCTAGTTTAGGGAAGAGGGATGAAATAGAATGAGGAGTTCACTTTTGGGTGTGTTGAGTTTGAGATATCAGTGAAATACCAAGGTGGCACTGAGTTTAAAGTTACTTAATTGGAGTATTATTGAGACAGTGGCATGTTAAAACTCTCAGAGCACAATACAAAAAGCATTTCTTTTTGCTTTGTGTATCTGAGGGAGCACTCCAGTGAAACTTAAGTATGCGGAAACAAATCTGTATGCCCTCTCTCTATGCTTGCCTGGGAAAGACCCCTCCTAACACTTAAAGAAACCTTGTTTTCTGAGCAATTCTAACATTAGTGATGAAGCATTAGGAAGAATGTCAAGTGAAAACAAAAGCCATACTACAATTACAGGCTTAAAGGAGGAAAGAAAAAGAATGTTGACAAATATTTAGAAATGTGTTTTCAAGTGTAAAATGTGTTATTAAGTACAAAGATTGGAAGAAGCCTGAAATAAAGAGCTGCTCTCATTAAACATAACCACTAATGAATATCACACAAAGCATTTACCTTAATGAATATGTTTTGAAACCAATAAAAACCATTTGATGCATAAAATGAGAGAGAAAGGATAAAAAGCCACTTTAAAATATGAAGACTAGGCAACATAATAAATGCCTTATATAACAATGGAGAAGTCCTGCTATGACTCAGGATTGGAACAGCTATTTACTATGATTATGGCTCACTCCTTTGAGACCTGGAAATTTTCATTTCTATACAAGGGGCTTAGTCATAGCCATTATAGCAGAAAGAGGCAAAAGGATGGTAATTCAAGCTCTTATGTATTTTTCAACCTTTATGAACTTTAGTACACCTCAATATCTTTTTTTTTTTGCTAAGTGATAGACATTGATCTCTGACAGACAGAAACTAAAACTGAGAATGTAATGAAATGCACCAAGCACATGGGGTAATCAAATAAATGAATAAAATATTCATTAAAAACTGAAATTATCATTTGATTAAAAATGTACTAGATTTTGAAAATGCTCCTTGAAAAGCAAATAATTAAGGCATTATGTCCTCCTAGTGCTTTTGAGGGAGTAAAAACCCAAAGGAATGCTAGAAACATGGGCTTTAGAATATCAAATGAAGTGTCAGGATGCTTCCTCACAGTGGCAAGAGAGACATTTCATTATCCATAATATATATCTGAGAGAAGGAAGACTGTGCTGATGGCAATTTATTTTCTAGAAGTCATTATTACTTTCAAAGGTCAACTCTTCAGATGTTGATCTAGGCCAAGGATTCTTCACCTTGTTTGGGTCCTAGACCCCTTGGCTACTCAGTCTGGTGAAGGCTATGGAAATACATAAAACAAAATTCAGAAAATGACAAAGCAAAACAATTATATTAAAACAGAATTGTTTGAAATATTTTCAAAACCAAGTTTGTGGGCCCTAGATCTACATGACTCCCTCAGGAAGCAGCGGCTCAAACCTTCCTTGGCCTATTACAGCACGGGCCGCCACACAGCTTCTCTGTCCTCTAAAGCCTGGCAAGCTGACCACATCTCTTTTACTGTTTTAATTAAGGGATTTGGTCATCACTGACAGAATTATTCAGGGTTCTATAACTTGGCATGAGTTAATGAGGTCATTTATTAGGCTAGTAATTAATAAGAGGGGATAGCCTTCCTACCTTCACTTAATCATGAGTGAAAACTTTCATTTGAAATGTTGAGCCTACTGAAATTCCAGTGATGGTACCACAAATCTTTCCCAAAGTAGGTTTTCTGGGTTTGTGGAGTTTGCAATAACCTCAGGTTCTAACACTGGGGAATCTGAGGACAGAGGTGTCAAGCACTCCAGCCACATTGCAGTATACAACACTTTGAGTGGGACCTGATCCAGATTAAAATGTAAAATTGGGAAATATTTAACAAAATAAATAAAAATACAATAGTACATATGTAATAATAATAATAATAATAACAATAACATGTGTTTTCTAAGTCAATATGCAATCTGCAAAGATCCTTTTGTATGATTTTAGTGGCCTCTACTCCTGAGTTTGACAGCACTGTCATCAGAAATGGAGTAGTAGAATAGCTCAAAATGGGCTTCGTTAAGGGGGGCAGGGCCTCAAGCCTTTTTTCTGAAGGAAGTCTGTAGTTCTGCTCCCCAATCAGCTCTCTGGAAGTTCACTCCCTGATGACTTTAGTGACAAGAATATTCGAGGTCTGCCCTGTGTCCCTATTTTCAATGAAGACAGATACAGTGAGATACTACATGTAAAGTTCTTTTTAAAATTTAAAGCACTATAGAAATGTCAGAATTTTACAGATCCTCCCCAAGCCCCCCACCTTTTTCCATTTAGAGAGGGGAAACCCCTAAGAACTTCAACTGATTTCTTTTTTATCTGAAAATGTCTCCATGAGTAGAAACTTAGGTTATTTTCTGTATGTTCAAAGATGGTCATATAACTAAGGTAGACTTTTACCTTGAGAAGCCTTAGTATGGGACCAGTTCTCTTGGTTTTCTGCTCTCAGGTGTTTTGGCGTTTTGTTTTAACTCCAACTGTGTCATCATGTATTTAGGATTATGGAACTATATTCCAGTTATTTCTCAGTAATTACCTAATTTGTTAAAGTTATATTCATAATTCTTTCTTCCAAGATTCTAGCCATTCCTAACTTGGAGTTACAGATGAATTTAAATAGTAGGGTTATCCAGTACCTCCACCAAATCATTAAAAAATATTAAATACCAAGATGGGCCTACTGCTTCCTAATTAAACAACCCTTGTTATGCCCTCTTACTCCTCTCCCATGTTGACATAAAACCCTGACAACAATGCTATCTGATGTGTGATGGTTGCATCTGAACTTGAGAGGAGATGTTGCCACTAACACTACCTTAAAAATTGGTGTAGCCAGTGGAAGGGCATTTTCCTTTAGGAAAAGATTTGCGTGCTTTGTGAAACACAACTATTTGATAACAATTGGGCTCATGTTTTATTTTTGTCTTGCAGGGTTTGGGTGCAACAGGGGTAAGCAGGCCCACAGAATCTGTTAGCACCATGACCATGGACCAACATACCCAAGTGGAAGAGGAGAGATTCTTTCACTCACCCCTGCCTGGACAACACAGACCAAGGTAAACGTCACTGGTGGTTGGGTCTTCGTTTTTTAGAATTTTATTAATTTTTTCATTCAATTTTCTTTTATTTTTCGGTCTGAATTCTCTCTCCCACCTCTGACGCTCCTCCTCCTCACTCCTCCTCCCCACCATTGAGAAAGAAAAAAAAAATAAAACCAGTTGCAAACATGTATAGTCAAGCAAAACAAAAGTTGGTCTTCTTAAAGAAAACTTTACATAGATTAGAATATGGATCTACTTGGATCTTCTCCTCCCTCTCCACATCCATGACACCCAATGCCTGATAGCACAACAAGGTAGACCAGGAGCAACAAAGTGATTTGAGGCGAGGAAATGCTAGGACTGATCAACCACATGTCATTGTCTTGACAATTAAGAAGTGAAATAAGGGGAGATGCAATGTCCATACCCCTAGATGTGTGCATAGGAAAACGCAGGTTCTCTTACTGCTTCATTTGATGGGTGGCCTCATAAGTAGCATAATCCAGGAGCTGGGTGAAAGCTCAGCTGCTCTAAACACAGATAGTTCTCACACTCTTGTTGGTCACTATTGGAGTTCTGATCTGAAACAAAACAGTAAAAATTTTCCTGGTTATCCTCTCCCTGACCCACCCTGTTACCCCAGATTTCCTAGACTTTAATGGCACAAGCAACTTCTACATATGCCAATGGCCAGAGAGTATGTTGTTGTTACTATTATTATTACATCAAAATTAATTAGAAGCCAGTAATTTCATGACTATGTACAACTTAAATCGTTGTTTCTCATGAATATATTTTCAAATCAACATTTCATCTTGTCATTTAGGAAGCATAATAATCGAAAGAAATAATGTTATTACTATTTTATTGCCCATGTAAACAATTTCATTTTCAGGGCAAACTGTTAGGATTTGAGCTTGCAAAGCCAATGATATGCTTCTGTAGCATGATTTTATCCATTTCTGGTGTGAATTTGAGTTAAGCCATCACTCTGCCATAACAAGGTTTCTAACATCTGAAGAACATAGAAGACATTGTTTTTCTTAGCTCTCCAGAAGGTTTACAATGGCTGCATAAATGCCCTTTCACTTACAGAACTTTAAACAAATACTTGGATGTGTGCTTTAGGGATGACATACCACGAATATCTTACGAAGACTTCAGCGAACCTAGTGCTGGAAGATCTGCCGCAGGCAAGCCTATGAGGAGAGACCCTGGGCATTCCGGCTTGTTTGTGGAACCTGGAACCTTGAAATACTACACATTAGTTGTTGAAGGCGAAAGCCATCCAACTAGCAGCGGACATCGACGAGGAAGATCTACGAGCGTTGGAAGGAAAGAGAGGCCTTCTCCCCAAGGTATGCCTGAGTGCTTTTGGCCCTTCGAAGGCAGTATGCTTAGCAAATTAAATTAACGACCTCCTGTCACTTCCAAAATGGTATCTGGTTCTTAGAAGGTAAACGTTGATTGGTGGTGAAAAACTGTTCTTTCAGCTATCAAGGTATAATCAAGAATTATGTCATCATTTGGCTATTTCTCATGGCTTTAGGGGAGATGAATCCTTTTTACTACATACTCAGAGGCTGGGAATCTAAGCCTCAGATTTTCAATTTCTTTATCTTGAACAGGGATAGGCAAAGAGCACCTGGCTGAGTGCTTAAGGATCCTGAGTGCATGAAACCAAGTGACAGATTTAGGCGCTATAACTTTGGGGTCAGAGCCTCACATAACATTGCCTGGATGTTATTGTTTATCCAAGCCCTTATATATCAAAATTAAAATGAATTTCTCTTCCCTCAGAAAAGGAACTACAGATTTCATTAAATGACTGACCTTTTTCCTCTCAGTAGTGCTCTTACTGCAGAAAGTAGTCAGAGTTTCTTATTTCTTTAGCTGTTTTGCTAAGGTTGGCTCATTGTTGTAAAGAGAATATTGCCACCTCCTTCTGAGGTCCTCATCTCCTGCTTTATCGATCTGTCTTCACAATTCTTCTGGAATATAACTCAGTACAAACAGAAAACTAAGCTGAGTGAACTCCCCAAAACTCAGCCACTCTAAAAGCATGTGGTCTCTTTGAGCACCAATATTCTGTATAAAATATCCCAAAATTCTTACTTGCATTTTTGTACATAAACTCTTGTGATCCAATTAACCACTGATCCATTAAAAAAAGAAAAAGAAACTTTGCCCATGAACACTGAATATTATGGCTCTGTAAATGTAAAAGTAGTTGAAATTTCTCAAATATTTATTGAACGGCTCCAGGGCACATAACACTGCACTAGATGCTAAAGCATTTACAAAATGAGGTACTCATTGTCTCATTTATCAGGAAGAGGGCAAAATTCAGTTATTTATTTTTACTTCTTGTTCAACATTTCAAATTTAAAGCAAATAATAATTCCATAGGTGTTTACTACCTTATACTTGGTGGCAAATTTTATCCTATGTGATACTAGCATTTATGTGAGAACACAGTATATGTATATGAATATTTATGTGTGCAAATATGAAAATGGGTATATATATACATTTATTAGAATGTATGACTCACCCCAATAAAAAGCACCTACATTTCTTTCTTAGACTTTCACCAAATTAGAGTGTTATAGAGAGCCATTTTTGTGTCAAGTGGGCACAGTACTCCTCGATAATATTAATTTTTCTGTAATAGTTATGACGTTGCATCTGAGAAAGTAAGAAACTGATGTACCAACTTTCACATTCCCTGAGAAAACTGCCGTGAACTCACCACTTAGAAATTTCAGTTACCCTGGGATAAATTAAATAATATCAGAAGTGACTTCCAAAGCAGCTTTCTTGCAGAGGAATAGTGAAGGCTTCTGCTTAGTTTTCACTTTGGAAATGTCAGTAAATAATCCCCTGTCTCTTGGCTCTTTTATTTTCACAATTAATGTCGTTGATGTCATGAGCAAGGTGTCCTGGTACTATTGCTGCTATTCTTTTATGTAGTTATTTCTAACAGGGAAGAGGATGTAAATGAATGAATGGCTGAGCACTATTAAGTAGTTACTGTGTCCCAAGAAGTAAGGTGGTGACCATGTGAATAGGGAGAAGGGGATGGATGTGAGAGTTGTTATGGAGGTAGAAATGACAAGATTTGGCAATATTACATATGCAAGTGAGTGAGAATGAGGAGCTGAGGATGACCCTGGGATTCTGAACCTGAGTAACTGGAAAGATGACAGTACCCTGGGCAAAAATTGGGAAGTCTGAAAGAATGAGCTTTGGGGGATAGATAATATTGAATATGAGATGCATACATGACATTCAGTTCAAAATATCCACAAAGCTATTCATGCCAGACTAGCTAGTCATTAGCAAAATGGATAATTAAAATCATGTGAGCTGGTGAGGTCACTTGAGAGATTATATAAGAAAAGAGGGCCCAGGATAGAGCGTTGGGCTATATCCATGTTTAGGGTATGTGAGATGGATGATAATATCTCAAATGGGACTGAGAAGGAGCAATCATATCGGTCAGAAAAGAACCAACAGAAAGCAGCATCATGAAAACCCAGAAAGGAGAAAGTATCCAGGAGGCAAGGGTAGTCATCAGTGTTGAATTCTAAAGATAGATTAAGAACGATGGCAATTGAAAAAAGATCATCAGATTTATCATTCAGAAGATCACTGTTAATTTTGTAGAGAGCAGTTTTAGTTGAATGATATAGTTGGCTACAAAGGGTTAAGAAATAAATGAAAGAGAAAGTAGAGGCAATGAGCATAGACTTTTTTTTTCCTAAGAGCTTGAGAAAGAAAGGGAAGAGAGATGTGGGAAAGCTTGTAGCCTGAGAGACTGGTACAGTCTAGTGAGGGATTTTTAAGCAATGGAGAGACTTGGATGGGTTTGTAGGTAGCAAGAAAGGAATCATTAAGTGGATAGAACACTGGCTCTGAAGTAAGGAGGACCTGAGTTCAAATCCAGCCTCAGACCAAACACTTGAGACTTACTAGCTGTATGACCCTGGGCAAGTCACTTAACCCCCATTGCCTAAACAAAAAACAAAAAAACAAGAAAGGAATCATTAGATAAGGAGAGATTGAAGGTTAGAGGGAAAGTAGATAATTGTAGAGACAATCTGCTAAAGAAGATGGCAGGGCATGGGATCAATGGTGCATGTAGAATGGTTGGTTTTGGTGAAAAGAAGGTGGCTAGAATAAAAGAGAGAATGGAGGATGATGTCAAGGTGAAATATCCCTGGGGCTATAAGCTAAATGAGCTGAATAGACCAGTCTGAGAGGAAGGGCTTCAGAGCAACTGAAGATGAACAGATGGGCAGCAAGAGAGAAGACTAGCCCAAGGTTAAGTAGCTGGTTAATGGCATGGAAGGAACCAGAAGGTGGGGCTTTCTACTTCCAGACCATTGCTCTTTCTACCATACCATGCTGAGTTTTAAATCTTTTCTTTAGTTTTAACAATAACTGTCATTGAATAATTATTTGAAAATAGGATTATGTGAAAAAATAGTTTCCAAAAGACATGACTTAGTCTGCATGTTTGATAGCCTAGATAGGCATCTCTCCAATTAAGAAAATCCACATACTGTAGCACAAACTTATTAATTATGTAGAAATGATTATTCAGTTAAAAAAAAAAGATTTACCATAAAATTCCTTTAATTCAGAGGGTCTTTAGCTTTTTTATGTCATGGACCCACTTTGGCAGTCTGGTGAAACCTACAAACTCTCAGAATCATGTTTTTAAATGCAAAAAAACCCCTCCAAAATAAATAAGATTACTAAGGAAACCTATTATATTGAAACACTCTTATCAATATATATATTTTTTAAATAAGTTCATGAACCCCTGGTTAGGAATCTATTTTTTTAAAAAGCTAGCCACCCTAATGCATTTCAAATGTTTCCCCCACAGAAGAATGTATGTTCCTTGAGTAGAGGGCTAGTTTCATTTTTATCTCTGAATCATCAACACTGAGCCCAGGGTCTTGGATGCAGTAAGGTCCTCAAGTGGGCCCTTTAACTGAATCCAAACTGGCTTTGTATATAGTCTGCTCCTAAACTATATACAAAACCGGAATCAACAGGATGCATCTCCAAATCAATCTGAGTAGCAAGGACAAGATGACTTTGAAGTTTTGATCCTTTTATTTGTTTCAACTAAAACTCCCTCCTGGTGCCGCCTTCCATTTTGATTATGAAATTTATCTGTTCGTTCAAAACGATTGTCATTAGTCCTGATGAAAACACAGATCCACCAGACACCAGAATTGATGATTTTATATTTCAAATATGGGACAGCGATTTAGAATTAACAACTCAAGAGGTTTGCAGAACTGCCAACAGCAAGAAAAAAAATTGAAATATTATAGCCGAGGAGGCACATAACAAAAATGATACTGTGAGAAGAAAGCTCTATGGTCACAATTCCTTTGAAACTCCATGTGTGGGACCAAGAATCCATTGACTGCCTGGTTGTGTTTTTTGTTAACTCCAAGAGTGCCCCAAGGAGCTGTGCAGTTGCCAACAAAGCAGGTCCTAGTGGTCCAGCCACTAACTCAGGTTTGAGCTGCCAATGCCGGTTCTAAGGGCTATATAAAATAGCTGAGTGCTTCAGAATTTAAGTCTTACTACAAGTTGTTGACAAAGTGTTTGGAGAACAAAACAGGGGCCTTCTCTCCATTTCAGCCTTGGCTGTGAAGGTCATGCATTCTATAACTAAAGCAACTAAGCCCTGTTGTTGATAAATATTGGTGATGACCACAAAATCATATTTTTTGTGATTTCCACTCATGAACTCATAATATTTCTCCATGCCATGCTATTGGATAATTACCAACATTTACATAATAGCCAACATTTACACAGCAGTATAAAGTTTGCAAAACACTTCACATATATTATTTCATTATAAACTTTGTTTCCCCTTCCCTCTTCCCAGCACTGTGCTCTTCAACACAGAAAACAATGAACTGCTTATCAAAAGGAATTAATCCTTGCATTACTCTGAATTTTATAGGCAAAAACCATAGGAAAATGAAGCTTTCATATCAGCAATGATTTTATTTGACATGTGCCCATTGACACTTGGAGCACTCAAAAGGATCACATCCTTTAAGGAAAACTCAAAGCATTAATTTACCTTTGAGAAATAAGGTACAAAGTATGATAGCACCTGGGGGCAGCTAGGTGGCTCAGTGAATCAAGCACTGGGCCTGGAGTCAGGAAAACATGAGTTCAGATGTGACCTCTGACACTTACTAGTTGTGTGACCCTAGGCAAGTCTCTTCACCTCTGTTCGCCTTACTGAACTGGAGAAGGAAATGGCAAACCACTCCAGTATCTTTACCAAAAAAACCCTGTTGATAGTATTGAT